TATTACCTCTCGAGATGTCAAGTGGCGATGACATTTTTTAAGTAATACAAAAGAAAAATAATTCTTTGGATAGCCTTGGATTCCCATGCAGCGTGGGGAAATATTCCGCAATAAAAGATGAAAACAATTATTATGGGGAGATGTTTGCGCTGAAACTGAGCTAAAAAGTGCTTTTGCGCTGCATGGACACATTGAAGGACCTGCCAAAACTAATACAAATCTAATAAGTATAGAAGAGGAACAAAATCGCACTGATGAAAGATAAAAATCGATTTCAACATCGAAACTTACACGTTGTGCAGTTGAATGCTAAAGTTCGCAATCTCTTTCATGGTGTCAACATGCTTCAGCAGTGGATCTCGATCCAGGACGTTCTGACCAGGAAATTCCGGGGTTTGAATTACCACTTGATAACCGCCACCAAGACCATTTTCTCGAACAATCTCGTTTCCACCTCTCGAGTCATTATGGTTCATGGTGGCTTGTATCCGTGATAAAAAGTTCAGCTCTTCATCCAGACGTCCTCCTTCTATAAGAAAAGGAACGATGCTTTACAATTTCTCAAAGATTGGATATAAGACATGATCAAAAACTTACTTGCCACCCATAGCTTAACTATATCCGTTTCAATACGAACAAACTGTAGGCCATAACAGCATATAGAGTAGAGAATAAGCACCATGATGATAACCGAAGAGGCATTTGCATGTACGAAGTTTCCAAGGGAAAATAACGACTTCTGGATGAAACTTCGCATATACAACGCTCTTTTGTTGCCATTTGCTTTGCCCTGAAAGGATACAGCCTAATGGGAAGAAATTTCACCAAATTTTGATTGAATTTCTAGAATAAACACCTCTTAAAACTTGTTTCGTCGGACTAAACCTCATTCCAGCTAAATTAGATATGATCAACAAATGCGCTACAATCTCCTTATGGGTATGGTGTTTTTTTTTTTTCGCAAGGCATTCTATGCCAAAGAACCTCAATGAAACGTTGTGCCCCCT